GGATTCCTTCTGTTTCTGGTGTGGATTTATCATTAAAAGACTGTTATTTGGATTTCTCCTGCGTCGTGCACTTTTAATACCACAGCAACGTAACATACAGTGTGTGTATATATATAAAATAACAATCAATATATTTGTTCCTTCGACTTACTATGTTGTGGCCATTTCAAAACATTTGAAAACTGATCCCCATCACTGTATTTTTCTTATATACAACCACACATATTTACAATATAAACAATAAGGTGAGATAAAAGTGTATAAATGTGTTCATCTTTATATAAACTCGTTCAAAACATTTGAAAACTGATCCCCATCACTGTATTTTTCTTATATACAACCACACATATTTACAATATAAACAATAAGGTGAGATAAAAGTGTATAAATATGTGTTCAGCTTTATATAAACTCATGCAAGAGAAATTAATTAACTGAGTGCTGCAATAAAGCTATCACATGTAAAAATGTGACAAAAAATTAGATAGATAGATAGCAAAGCTCATTTAAATAACCTGGTTTGTGTTGTACCAATACCAGCAGCTTCTCTGGTTCTTTATTTCTGGTGGGACACAGTCAATCTTTTACACCCAGTGGTTCTCAACACAGCGCGAGTTTGCAACCGTCATTACAGTGTAAACTGATGGAAATACAGAATCATACCTGAAACCGAAAATTAATAAAAACAGTAATGTTCCCTCCTCACTTCGGAAAATGTAGGCTTCACAGATGTGCACACGCATCAACATGAGAATGCATGAGAAGAGTTTATTAGACGGGAAAGGGCGGGGTCTCAAAGTTAAAGATGAAAGATGCAACATAATATATATATATAAGGGGATATAAAACATAGCTTGTACAGTATAAAAACCGTTACGCCTGTAGAGAGTCCCCGTAAACCACATATGCAAGTGTGTGTGTGTGTGTGTTGCGTGTGAATATTTGCGTCTGTGCGTCTCTCAGCAGTATTCAGCAGCAGTGTCTACTAATAGCGAATCTTTAAGTTGAACTGCTTCAAGAACCTCGCTACTGAGAAATGTCATGTACAGCTTTTCAGCTGCAAAACTATTTTATTGATAAATTTGCGGGGCAGCCGCAGCTCTGACAACGATTTTCTGTTTGCGTCTCCGTGTGTGTGCGCAAGTGCGTGTCTGTACCGTGTGTGCGTCTGTGAGAGGAGAAAAGCGTGATTTCCGTACATAAAAAAGATTGAAGACATGGAAATAGTTGTAGATATCCCATAGTAGGCAGTGTGTGTCTGTGTTTGTTTCTTGTTATATTGTTTGGGTTGCTTGTTTTGTTCAGCTGTTTTATAGAACTTTGAGCACTGGAATGGCTTTACATAATTTACTAATGGCAGCGGCTATTTGCACTAAGTGTAAATAGCGATAGAGGCTATTTACACTAAGTGCAAATAGCAATAGATGTTATTTACAATAAATGAAAATAGCATATTTTCTTAGGGATAGATGCTATTTACACTAAGTGCAAATAGCGATAGATGCTATTTACACTAAGTACAAATAGCAATGGCTATTTACACTAAGTGAAAATAGCAGTATTTTTAACAATATGCTATTTACACTAAGTGCAGATAGCAATAGATTCCATTTACACTATGTTAAAATAGCAGGATTTTCTGCTATTTATACTACTTATTGCAAATAGTGGCAATTATCTGCACCTCAGTATTATAGTACATTATAAAACAGTATGCAGTAATAACGCATTGAGTGTAAATTATAATTTTAATTACAATTATTAAATGGATGCCACCTTATTGGGACAATAAAGCCCTCCCTACACTTACCCTAACCCTACCCGATACTTTATTTTCAACTTTTTTATTATTTCCTTAATTTTTATTGAAAATAAATGCCTTTCCGATGTGATACGAGATTTGAAAAGGGAGAAAAAAAAGTTCGGTAAAATGCAGATTTGAACCTGGATCGATCGCGTCAACTAGACTACGGAACGCGCTTTACCATCTATGCCACTGAAGCTGAAGATTGTCAACCATCTATTATAGTGTTGACCATCCCTATCACACATTTGTGGGTGGAGTTAGTGTAAATAGCCTCTGCCAACAAGGCGGACTATTTGCACTTAGTGTAAATAGACACTCCGTTTACGAATAGTGTCTTTTTTATTAATAGCAGTATTCTTAGTATTTTTGAGAAATGACTCATCGTGTGATGTTCAATTTTTGGCCGCAATGAGGGGGTGACCCAAAGTTGTCCACTCTTCCACCTGCAGAGCTACTGGTGTGTTCAAGTGATGTCTGAAAGATCAGTAACACTTTATTTTGATAGTCCACTTTAGACATTCTACTAACTAAAAGTAATTTTGTAACTTTATTTCAACTACCATTATTAGAGTATTATTATCTTATTATACTAATCCTAAACCTAACCCTAACCTAACAGTCTACTAATACTCTACTGAGAGTTAGTTGATATGTAGTTGCAAATGTACTTATAGTGACTATTGAAATAAAGTGCAACTGAAAGATTATATCCATAGATCATATCTATAGAAAGATATAGCCATGAGTTTCCAAGTTGGGGCATGTTAGTGAGAAAACATGGCAGGATCAAAGCCAAGAACCCACGAGCCAGAGCGTGGTAAGAACTGTGACGCTCATATATAGAAACAACACGCGTTACATTTCTCTTTTTGAATTGACAAATATGGACTACTACCGCCTGCTGGTATAAAAGTTATTTCCTTTCATGCAGAAACAGAATATAGTATATCAGTCTGGCGAGTAAACAAAAAAATGTACTAGCCAATGGCGATTATATTGCCAAGGTGTGTGTAGTGCTGTCAATCGAACTAATTAATTGCACATTTTTATGTAATTAATCGCTATTCATCACATATTAATATACTATTTACATTGTCATGATTTCACATTGAGTCTCTAAGTTAATGTAGAAACAACATAAAGATGGTATATTTTAAATATGTGTTTAAATCTTGTTACTAAGTAGCCTATAATTAATGAAGGCCATAATCATTGTTAATAGGCTTTGAAAAATACAACAACTTCTAATTTAAGTAAACTTAAAAAATCTTCACATAAATTATAAATTGTATATGCATAAACTATAAATTGAATATAGGTTACTCTTTATTCATGTTTCAAGTGAGTGATTTCTCTTTTTCTTTTGTTCTGTGATTGACATCAATGACAGTAAACTCATTTAAGACTGTGTTTACAAGGTCACTCACCACAAACGGGTATTTTTACATACTTTTGTGTGTTTTTGTCCGCGAAAGAAAGCTCAGTGTCAGATGCCTGAATTCACAGAGAGCTGTTTCACAGGCAGTGTGCCAGTACCAAATTAAGTTTTTTTTATTTTTTTACTTTTTTTTTGCATATTATCATTAATTGATAGCATGTTCATATGCCATGAAAAAAATAGATGTTGCATTAATTGCATAAAAATGTATTTTAATAAAAAAATATTTAAGTTAAATATTAAATTAATAAAAAATATTTAAGTTCAAATATTTAAGCAATTAACGCAGCTGTCACAGTTTCTGTCAGTTTGGACCTAGTGGGTGTGTCCCAATCAGCTCCCTAGCTCCCGAGCTCGTGAATCAGTATATTTTGTACACAAATTCGGTTCCCTGGCTCACTGCACATTGGGACAGTGATTACTCAATTTCCCGTGACATGACTACGTACAACATCAACGGACAACATTATAGAACTTCACAGCTGTAATTAATCAACAACAGGCAGGACCAATCTCTTTTTGATATAATTTTTTATTCTCTTTAAACATTGTTCTTTTACATGTTCTTACAACATTTCAGACGAATATTAATTATAAATGTTAACTAGATGTGATCATTACCCGTTTAGCGATGTGTGTTTATGTTGAAATATACAAAAAAAATGGTTGGTCTTTTCAAATCACCTATCGTGTATCATTATATTTATCGAGTTGGCTCGTGTGGTTTATGTCTCGCGCTTCAGAAATGTGACTTAATTTATGGCAAGGGAGCATAGTGAGCACCAATGCTCCCTAGTTTTTGCAGTGCATTGTGGGATTTTTCAGGGAGCGAACGTTCCAGAGCACTGGAAGGATTTTGCGATTGAGAGAGCCCTTAAAATGGTGGACTCCCTGATCAGTGCCCTGACTACTGAACTAAGGAGCTGATTGAGCCAGCTCTGTTTGCCCTCAGCCTTGTTAGTTGTCATGGTTTTTTATTTGATTTCATCAATCTGTTCAGCTGTGTCTTGTCATTAGTCCCTCATTTGCCTTTTGGATTTGAGACTTTAGTCTTTGCAACTTTACAGATCTTCTTTATGCACCAAGAGCTTGTAACACTTCAAAGAGAAAGGAAAAATTGAAATCGCATCATATGACCCCTTTAAGTGCCCTTCTCATTTCCAGTCTTGGTCCGGTATTGTTGTTGTTTTGCTTCGTGTTCCCTTTGTATCTATAGATTATCATCTTCTTGGACTCTAATTAAACTCTTGTGTGGATTACCTTCGCCTTTGTGTGCCTTTCATCTACACAAGCGTGACAGCAGCATCTATTTTTCCATATATATGTATTAGGGTTGTCAAAATTAATATGTTAATTGTGCAATATTTGTTTTTTTTATTTATTGCAAAGATGAAAACAAAAGCACGCACATCAACCTCAAATGGGTGCTTGACTAAAAAAAAAGTAGAAAAAATTTAATATAAAGTCGGCAACACCAAAGCTCCAAAAGTATCAAAAATGTATTTATTTATTTTTCGCATACACGCTATGCGAAAGTTTTTTTAATTACATTTTTGATACTTTTGGAGCTTTGGTGTTGCCGACTTTATATAATTTTTTTTATTATTTATTGCACAATTAAGACATTAATTTTGACAGCCGTTATCATACATTACAGCTGTAATGTACACTATATACACACATATACATATGCTTTCTTTTTATTTATTTTTTTTGCATCAATGTTAAGACAAGTAAAGTAGCCAAAAGACTCACCAAGTCTGTTCCACATGACTGATGGGCCAGTCAAGCCTGCACATGTGAGCTGTGATGTTGTTCGGCTTGTTGAATGGCACCAGTACACTAAACACAGGATAGGGCACCATGATACCCACAGATAGTATCCATGTGGCAGCGATGACCTTGTAGGCATGAGAACGGGTCTGCCATGCCCTGGACTTCAGCGGGTTGCAAATGGCGCTGTATCTTTCAATGGCAATGGCCACCAGACTGAAGGTGGAGATGCTGACAGATAAACCTGTGAAGAGAACGGATACAAAGGAAGGAAATTAATATTAAAAATTATATATATATATATACAGTATCTCACAGAAGTGAGTACACCCCTCACATTTTTGTAAATATTTTATTATATCTTTTCATGTGACAACACTGAAGAAATGACACTTTGCTA